CACATAATTGAAAAAACTATGATGAAAAATGTTCGCATTTAATTGTAAAAGGACGTAAGAAGATTCTTCTTCAAACAGTTTTTTTTCCACTTTACAAGTTACGAGTTCGTCTTTCATAATTCGTATGATTGATAACTTGTCCTCTGTTGTTCTTGACTAAATGATATTTTAATTCAGTCACTATTATCATGCTGTGTAATTGATTATTTTCAATATTTATTTTATTTCTATAGTTGAACTATGCAAGAAAATTAAGATGATAATGATCGTTGTCATGATCAGAGTTATATAATTGTGCAGATCACAAATCGATTGTTTTGGGCGTCATAAATGTGAATACCTACTGGACATAATTGTCCAAACAGGCAGATAATGATGGAGTGTACATTATCTTAGATTTCTGTATATCGAATATATTGATTTACAATGAAATGCTATTTGTACTACAAAAAAATAAAAAAACAGCAAGAAATAAAAGAATCCTGGATTTATCAAATCTTAAATGTAGCTTAAAGTTATAGTGTGACTTGTATACCGAAATTAGAGACACACGAGTTAAGACTACGTAACCAGAACCCGGCAGACTTCTAACCGAAATTTACTTGACAGACTGTACAATCTTTTTCAGAACTAAATGATATTATCTGCATAGTTATCGTATTCATTGTCGTGATCCAATTATGTCATGTTCTTGAATACTGTTTTCCAATTTGTTGCTTAGTAGTGAGATATCAATCAATCTTTAGCAACAATATTCTTTAGTTAGACTAAAACATAATGTGTCTCTAACAAAATATTTTATATATTTAATACGTCAGTCTGGGATTGAAATAAAACTTGTTTTTTGATATTTTAAATTAATTTTTCACTAACTCTATTATGTGCTTCGATGTTTCTTAATAGTTTGAATAGTTGTTGACTTCATATTTAAATAACAAATGGATGATTTTGTTATTGTGATATATTTTAATACCCTTTTATATGTAATCATTCATGGCGCCGCATGTTTACTGTATTTAAAAATGTTGATTAGAATTTCCAAAAAGATAATGAAAATGTAAGACAATGTCAAATATCATTCTACTAATTATTAAAAGTTTTCTTCTATTTTCTCACATCTTTGAAATTATAAGGCAACTTAGTTTATATTGTCTTCTATAATGATAATTCATTAAAATTTGTCGTTTGTTGTAATTGGATAAAAAAAATACTTCATGGTCTAGTTTTGTATAAGAAGAATGTAACAGGTAGACATGTTTGTTTGTTATTTTAATTTTTAAATAGACAAAACATCGCCCATTGTCCTAGTACGATGATACAAGATGCTTATTTTTATTTCTCTTAATGTTATTGAAACAAACTGATATTTAACAACGACTAGTATAAAATAAAAACGACTTTAATTTAACTTATGTACGATCATTTTTTCTTTCTTTTTTCAATTTTAAAATAAATGATATATCAAGCGTGAAAAGGTTGGATGAAAGAAAGAAACGGTGAATGTAAGGTCTTAATATGCAAATATCTCCTTACTCTCTCTCTCTCTCTCTCTCCCTCTCTTACGGTGTCTCTCTCAACCTATTGCAATGTATTCATACATAAAACAGACTGTCGTCTCTCTAAATCTTATGACAAATGACCAATAGCCTTGTCATAGAATTCATTTTATGTTTATGTTCAATTAGACGAAAAATCTCCTTAGGTGGTCAACATAATAACCGGAATAGAGAGAAAGAGAGAATGATTATTCGACAATCGTATTAAAGTTACAGATTGGTTTCTAATATACATATATATTGAGCACTGAAAATAGAAAAGGAGAAAAATAGTTGTGTTCGACGAGATTTAATTTAAAACAATTTTCTTGTTTTCGTATATTAGATTCTTTGATGAAAAAAAAAAACAAAAAAAAAACAAATTTGTAATGAAATTTTTAATATATATTCTTATTTCCATATCTAATTCAGGTGGTAGACAGTAAAAATAACAAAGTATACCTGTTTGAAGAATTTAAGAAAAATAAAAAGCATCGAATATTTATTCTAATCAATAAAACGTATCAATTTATGAAAGTAAACTTTTTACTATTTATATTAGGGGAAGGCATCAAAGTAACAAAGTATTTGATTGATCCAATTTCTATTTAGTATTTTAGTTAGTTAGTTGTATGTCTGACATTCCATTCAAAAATACAAACAGATATTATTTTTTCTAAAGATTAAATGAGCAGAGCCGTGATGAGAGAAACAATGACGGAGAGTGTCAATTTTTGGGAGAAAGATTATGAGTAGGAGAAAGTAATAAATCTAAAAAGCACGAGGAGCATACACACCCTAATCCCTTTATCACCACAACCCTATAAATGAGTCTATTCAATTTGGCCTATATTATATAAACAGTTATCTTACCTCCATATCGAAGGTGTTCATCATCATTACACTTTATGATCAATGTAACATTCTCTCCGGAAACAAGAATGACTAGTGAAAAAGTCTAGAAAAACGAAATCATTTAATATTTTAAAACATGAATAAAAATGTTTTCTACTTCGAAATTGTGTCGTTTTATTTATATTTTTCGTAGTTAAATTTTCGTAGTTAACATGATGATATTGATAATTCTCTTTTATTTACTATATGTCATAATACTTTTTTAAATTAATTATATTGCCGGAAAATAAAAGTATGCAGGAGACTATTTCTATCAATAATAATCTCATCAAGTTCGAAATAACGAATTTTTCAATTATAGTTTAACAGATTGTTGTTTCACACGCTTGCAGCAACAGATTGTAATGCAATTTTTTTTTCTTGGAATAAACATGAACATGATTACAGTACCTTTTTTTTCAACTTCGATGATTTTCTCATTTTTTTTTTTTTTTTATTTCGTGATATAAGTACATAATGAATAAACTGAACAAGTAGTCTATTCGTTTTCAAAACGGCTATATTCAATATTCAGAAACGACAAGTAAAAGTCAAATAGAGTTTAATTACGAAATAAGAAAATTTCATAAAATTGAGAATATATTTTTCATCTATTTTATTTGTATGTAGTTTTCACAATACCATCTAACATTGAACTGAAACTATCTCTTGTCTAATGGACACAACTTACAACTGTCTTTCTATGAAATATATTAAAAAAATGTTTTTTTTTAATCGGAATATCCATCTATCTAAATCATATCTCTGCATACGAAAAGCTCTCTTCTGCATATGTATGTGTACAAAAGTGTGAAGTCTAACTTTTTTCTTTTTGTTTTTTTTCTTTTTCCGATTAAAAAATTTGAAACTAAAGTGTAATTAGTGAAACTTGTTATTATTGATCAATCAAGGCAGTATTTCAAACACGACAATACAAATAAATAAACTGACGAACCAGAAACAAGCATGACCTGACAACGAAAATAAGTTAACCAACCGCTTAACGATGCGAAAGTGACATAAAAAATAAGCGAACCAATGTCTAATTCAAATAATAAGGGTCTATTCCTTTTTCTTTCCTATATCGTAAAGAAAGGAAGGAAGGAAGGAAAGAAAAGAAAACCTCATTCACAGGATCGCTTTGATTGACGGCAAAAGAGGTTCTTTTTCTCTCTTTCTCTATATCCAATCTACACAATTAGACAAGAGAAGAGAAGGAAAAAAAAAGAGAGAATTTGTCCAACTAAATCTGTGAAACAAGCAAAAGAAAAATCCGACAAACAATTGGATTTTTTTTTTTTTTTGTCATATACTCAGTAATAACCCCAATCATATCACAAGCGCACACGCCATCCATTTCTAACGCTTCATCAACAAGAACAATCTTAGCATCTTTTTCAATCTGATTTTCTTGAAATAAATTTCTTTCTCGTTTCTTTTTTTCTCTTCTTCCTTTTATCATTTTATTATATATCTCTCTACTTTTTTTCTCTTTCTCTCTCTCTCTCCCTTTCTCTCGCTCTTTCTCTCTCTCTTCTTTCTTTTTTTAACGCTCGTACGAATTCCTTTAAATGAGCTCTCATTTGTCTCGAATGCGCTCGCTCAAACGAAAGCGAACGACTAACTACTAAAATTCTTCTTCTGATCCCGACAAGTTCCAAATCATTGAACTGTAAGTCGCAAAATATTAACATGTTTTAAAAAAAATACAATGAATGAATGAATGAGTGATTATTTCTCGAGAGAGAAATTGCATTATTCTAAATGAACGATTATTTAGCTTTTTTGAGTATGTTGTGTGTGTGTGTGTATGTAAGAGGGAAATAATTTTCTTTTTTAAACAACGAAGGTTTACTGTAGTGACAACGATCACCATACGTGATTGAGTATATATATAGAGAGAGATAGATGACCTCCAAATATATTTATTAGACGGTAATAAATTTTTTTAAAAAATTCTAATTCAAAAAACAAACATTATTATTATTTTCCCATTTTTATTATTTTTTTTGTCTTATTTAACAACAAAAAAAAGAAGAAGAAAAACGAATAAGAATACAAAAAAAAAATGATATTAAAATAAACGAACTTCATCAGCCAAGTACTCAGGGACTACGAATAAATGAATGAATGACTGATGATGATGATGAATCAATAAATATATGAATGGATGAACGATAAATGCATAGTTGAATAAATCTCGAGAAAAAAAAAATATTTATAAATCGAGTAGCAGAGTGAGAGATAAATTCATAGTTTTCTTTTGTGATGAGAAGAGTAACATGAAAACATATTTTATCTTAAAATATTGTATGGATCATAGTGATTTTTGACTAGTTTTTGAATTTTTAAAATTAGTAATGATGAATTCGACCGGTTATTATATTTTACTAAGGTAAGCAAAGTAAAAAAACATCGAACAAACATGAACAGCATTCAGATTTTCTAAAAAATTTAAGAGTATATCATTTCGTTAATAATTATGTCTGTTTTTTGTTTTTGATTATTTTAGCCATCTAAATTGGACTGTTAACAGAAGCCGCAACCATAGAGGGGCACGCAGAGTTGTCGATGCCACACAAGGGTAAGTTTAAAGAAATTCAAATATTTCATTGGTAATACGTTGATTAGAAACGTGAGAACAACATCTTTCTTCTAAATCAAATTCAATTTTTCTTATGGTAATTATCATTAAGAGGAGAGAATATCTTTAAATCGGTCGTTAAAGTTATGATTGCCGAATCACGGTACTCATCTTTGAGTTGATTTTTCCAGAAAAAACGAAACTGTATATCTCTTAGACAATTTGTGAGTATTACTTCGGTTGTATTATGAATAAGGTTTTTCTTGTGCAAATCAATCTCACTGTATTTGAATATAACGAGAAGATTCAAGGTCCTAGAAATCTTCTTTAAAATATTTTATTGTTATTATTATAACCTGAGAACATTATCTAATTTATTCTTATCATGGTAGTATAGGTTTCTGTTTATTTTTATTATTATTATGATAATCACAGGAAAATCACTGTTTCTGTCGTCTATATTTTTCATAATAATAAAAAAATGACTTGTTCGTATTGAAACACATTTGTAGTTCTTTTTACTTAAGGCAATTTGACTATATATTTTGTAAATTACTACAAATGGAGAAAAGATAAAAAGTGACATAGTGGAATTATTGATGCAGAATAATTGAAAAGAGATAATTAGTATAGTGACGGTAACTAGATTGATTGAAAATCTTTCCGTCTAAGTACAAAAAGTTTATTTAATGATAGGTCGTTAAAAAATTATTTTATGTTGATAAAATGTACAAATTTTTTATTATGACATGAATATTTATTTGAACGGCAAGTTATTTTTTTCAAAAATTTAATGAAATAAAGATGTCAGAAGACAAGATTTTGTCAGATATAATGAAAAAGAGAGGTATTAAAAGTCGTCTGATCAAGAACAATTTTTTGTAATGTTTTTGATTTTCACACTCATCAATAACAACTAGCTTTAAATTTTTGTCACGTATAAAATATTTTTAACCTTCGTTTATGTTTTGATAAGAAATTATTGTCATCAATCACAAATTGTTCAATGATGCTGTTCTCTCGTTCTTTCTCTTTTTATATGCCAATTGAAGTGTTTTGAATAAACAACAATTCACTCCTCTCATGAATATGCAATAGTCATGCATCAAACATCATAACAAATTTTTAGAATGCGTCAGAGAAAAAAAATAAAAACAAAAAATCAGACTAATAATTATAGTTAGAAGAACTTGTATACGGATGATGTATTTTCAACATCAATTTGATTTTTAGTTTCAGAGTTTAGTATTGAATTGGTTTTTGTCAATACTAAGTTCTACTTAAGGAGAAAAACTGTTTGAGTGTGTATATAACAAGTGTTTTTATTCAAATATTTAGGGCATTCAGGAGTGAATCAACTTGGTGGTTTATTTGTTAATGGTCGACCTCTACCAGATGGTACTCGGCAAAAAATCGTTGAACTTGCTCATCAGGGTATGAGACCATGTGACATATCGAGGTATGATAATCTTTTAATAGACTTAACTGCTCAGATACAATTATTTTATGTGAGTTTTTTTTTCAATAGATTTTTGCAAGTATCCAATGGATGTGTATCAAAAATTCTTGCACGTTATTATGAAACAGGCAGTATTAAACCACGTGCAATTGGTGGTTCAAAACCACGTGTTGCCACGGCCGAAGTTGTACAAAAAATTGCTCAATACAAACGGGAAACACCTAGTATTTTTGCATGGGAAATTCGTGACCGTTTACTCGGTGATCAAGTTTGTACACAAGACAATATTCCCAGTGTAAGTTTATCATTATTCAATTACTATTTTATGTTATTTTTCTCTAATTTTTAAAGGTATCATCTATCAATCGAGTACTTCGTAATCTAGGCTCAAAATCATTGGATTCAATGAGTCATGAAACATATTATTCTGTTGACAGCAAACTTCGTGTATTACATTCACAACCGTGGTCATCATCATCATTCTATGTACAACCGGGATCTGCAACCACTCAACATTTATTACATCAATCATATTCAAATAGTAGTGATTCAAATGACTACAAGCATAATGATCGACATCCACAAGAGCTAGCAGGTATTTATACAACTAATATACATCTCTCGATGTCGCTAAAACACGTTCTTAGACATTGTAAAACAATAAGGAAACGGCAAATTGACGTTCACGATTTTCTGTTCGTTATAATTATATTCTCTTTGGTCACAGATGTAAAGCATACCACCCAGTGAGATTATACCTCATTTGACTTAGTTTGACCAATAGATGAATTGTAATGATATGCAACTTGTCTCGATTAATGAAGGAACAGACGAGAAAAGACATTCATTTCATCATCATAAATTTGGTTTTTATCAATTTCTGAGAAGTATCACATAATTTTCTTTTCTTTAAAAACTAACTGATGCCCTGAAGGTAATACTTTTCTTTTTTCTCTTCTCTCTACATACAACCAACTTGAAAATTGTCGTATAAATGAATATTAAAGTTGTTAAAACAAAAGCACTTAAATTTATTTGCATGAATGAATAAAACACACACACAAAAATTTATCGCAAATCATTTTTTTTTCTCCTTCTAATAGCCTCTAGTGACAGATTGCTAAGTCGCATTTTTGTTATGAAGTCAACAAAAAAATAAAATCATTCCGACATTTTTTTCTGAGATTGTTATTCAAGTTCAATAATAATAATAATAATAATAATAATAAGATGTTTTAGATGGAAACAAACGAAGCCGACTATACTGGCGTCATACCCAACTCTATTGTATGTTCACTTATTTGCCTCCTATTAATTGGTATTTATTAATTCTTAAGAGTGTAGATGAATAAGAACTTGTTTTAAGTATCTATCGATAGGTTATAGATTAAATTGTTCAGCTGATACAGCGCAACGGTAATCATGTTAAAGAACTTTTGTACTTACAACGTATCGTTAAAATGTAAGACCGTTATCAAACTGTTTGCTCTATGAACAGTTTAATATGCCGTTAGCAAAAATACCTAATGTTCTGAGATAATATTGCTAAGGGATCGCGGAACAAATCAGAACAGATGCTGGAAATGAGTTTTTTCCTTTTGTCTTGAACTTGTTCTTTGTTTTTTGAATAGAAACATTGTTTAATTGCATGTTGTATGTCTTTTGATAAATATATTCTCTCTCTCTCTCCCTCTATTTCCCTCTTATCGTGTTTTTAACTTATTTATCTTTTTTTTATCAATAATCATTTCCTAATTACTTGTTCCAACGACATATGCATCCACTAACTATTTCTTAATAGAACAATTAAATTAAATGAATCCTGATAGATATAAGAATGTTGTTGTTGTTTATTAGAACATACGTACAGGCGGAGAAAAAGTAAACTCTTATCCAAACATTTCTTTATATTCTCGTTTTGCCGATATTTTTCTTTAAGAAACAAGATTCTGTCTCTCTTATCATAAATGATTAGAGAAGCCAATATTTAATTGGGTGTTTTATTCTTGTATCAAACGATCATACTGGGGAGTGAGTCAATAAAATAACTAACAAAATAATATTTACACATTATTTCTTAATGAAATATAAACAGATCTACACACAAAACAGGCTAATTTATACTCCTGGCGTAAGAATAAAAAGAATAAAAACAGCAGAAGATACAATATTTAGTTATCTAATTCGAATCATTGTCAATGATAATATTGAAAAAATAAATTTAACAACTGCTCAATTTAAGTTTTTCTATTGTACATCTACTACATTAGATCAAATCTTGATTGTTATCAGCTAACTTTGTTTCTCAGTTTATTTTGAAACGGATGCTTTGTACTATTTTAAAGGTAACAAATTCAACGTTCAAAACTAGCAAACATAGTCATTCTTCTTGTTTACTGACATGATAGATTCCCTTTTATTCTCATCTCTCTCTCTCTCTATGCTGTTTTTATATCTTTTATCTCGAATAAGACTTTTTTAACCGTTGAAAGCATCTGTAATTTCATTTTTTGAAATATGCCCATATAAACTAATAATAACTAGCTGCTACGTCATTAACTCTTTTTTTATTTTTTACAAATAGATGAAAACTTTTACAGATGTTCAAATGTGATTCGTTCATTTTTGAGAAACACAATAAAAAAGAAAAAAAGAAGAAGTTTTTATTGTATTCTTCCTTTGCATATAGTTTTAGTGTGACAACGACGAAGATTTTCTTTTAATCCGTCGTGATGTTTATTCCACATCGTTGATGACATTCAAAAGTTTCATTCAATTGTAATGAAATTAGAAGAAAAAAAAGGAAGAAAAAAATATCGTCTATATTAAAATTAGAATGCAATGAAAGAAAAAAAAAGCTATTGGCAAAAAAAAAAATGAATATGTTCTTTGACACTGATTTCAGGTAATATCTTCCTAAAATGGAATGAAGAGGAAAAAAATGAGTAGAGTAGTGAGTTAAACTGTTGGATACGTGAGGAAAAATGAGTATGCTAGAAAATAAACAACATGTCACATTCTTTTAATACTTAAAGACGTAATCTCTCATTGATTAATCACCTTACACGCACACATATCAATAAATAATAGATTTGTAAAATAAAAATATATACAACACACTATCGAAAAATTCAAATAGAATAGATTTAGTAGAGAGAAAATTAATTTTATTCTTGAAAATGAAATATATGAAAATTGATTTAACTTAAAAAAAATAATCGACAACAAACGTCTCGAAACTGAGAGTTATTTTTTACTAACCGAATGAAAATTCAAACAATAACTGATAGAATTTAATAAATAAACTGATAAGTTTTTTTTTTAGAAAATTTTGACATTATTTTAATGATAGAAAATAGAATTTCTGTTGTTTCTAATTAAAATTAGTGATAATGATTTCTGTTAGTAGCAATAGTATGAGAGAGAAAATAGGGCAGGATAGTATAAATCTCTCTATATTTATTAATTAAATCATTATCTAGAATAACATGGGTCTTGTTTACTTTTCATATTAGGATAGACACTAAGATCAATATATAAAGCCACTTTACGTTGTGTACGTCTGTGATCAAATTTATGCTTGAAGCATCATCGTCCAAGATTAATACGCAATTAACTCTGTTTTGTTCATTCTGAATAGAATATTTTCAAATTCAATTTCTATTGAATATATGAAATAGGTATATACACAAACAAAATTGAGCCAATAGTATGATGGATTTCAGAAAGACTTAAAATGTGTCATACTGATGAAAAGTGTTTTGTATCAAAGAGAAAATCAACTGCTCTTTTTCATTATTTATCATCATCATCATCATCATTATCTATTTCACCACCATCAATAGTAGAAAAGACATGAAACAATTTGTTAAGAATAGATAAATTTACATTGCCAATAGCAACGTTCATCACCTTCTTCTAAACATTTTCTTCTTATTTTACATAATATTAGCACGGGAAAGTTGTTTGATTATCGATTGATTCAAAGAGATGAGACTAAAATATATATTTTATATCAAATAATGTAATTATTAGACGTTATTTCGATTAGTGACTTATTCAACTACAAGTATTTTGTATTTTATAGTTATCAAAACGTAGACGATGAATAAATGTCTAAAAATAAATACATAGATATTTGTATGAGTATCGAACTATTAACAAAGATCTGTTTCATGAGTAAAAAAATTCGTTTGATCTTCTATAGAGACGATGTTTGTTTTTGATTGTTATGAAGTGCGTTAAAATAACACTAAGTAAACGTACAGATATTTTATTTTTCTGTATTTCTTGTACACACATACACATAAATAATAGGAACATAATCAAAAACCATTTTGATGTTCAACCAGCAGAAAAAATCAGGTTAATCAAGAAGAAAGTATTTGATGATTTACATACATATAGATTCGTATGTAAATATCTGTAAACATAGGCTGACGAAAGGAGAAGAGAGAGAGAGAGAGAGAGAGAAAGGAAGAGAAAGAGTGCTGGAAGTAAGAAAACAACGATTAAATCTTAAAATAACAAATGAATAGAAATTTTTTGGAGAACTATACCCTCCTTTCGTTCGTCAATAGTATAATAATCAGGAAAGTGATTTTTTCCTTGTGAGCTCGAGGCTGTTGTTACGAATTTATAGTCCTGATGAAAAAAATGTGGACTTTAAAGTTGTCAAATCTAAGACTACTATGCTAACTGGTAGTTGTATTCATAATAAGTCACATTTTATAAACACATAAAAAAAAAAAACATACATTTGTGTGCCATAGAGTTTGCTAGTGAAATTGTAATAGCTAAAAATTCTAATTTGGTATACTATTGTTTTTAATCTTGAAAAGAATTTCGTAATCTATCAAAACTAGTAAATACTTTTTCTTGTTGGTGCGGAAACGCCTTGGAGCAATACAATACAATTATATTTCTAATCAGTCTGAACTCAGTACGTATAAAGATAGTAGAGTTAATCATTTGGAAATACAGAAACATTGCCGCTATTCTCTTCCACTCTACTTGGAAAAAGACAATGAAAAACGAATAATTTGTCGAATTTTATTCTTTTCTTTCTTATTTATATACGAAACAATGAAAAAGATCAAATATCATCTCTCTATTGTTTTATTTCTTTCTTTTCTTCTTTCTCGCACGTTATTTTTATTGGTCAATACACAAAGTCTATATAATAATGAGCCATTCGACACAATGATTCAAGAATAATTAAAATCTTATAGAAATAACATTAAACCTGAAATAACTTTTGTTTTAATCAACAGTTCATTCTAATTGTGAACATGCTGAAATATCTAGACGTAACAACATTTGTCAAATTAAAAAGAAATATTTAGCTATTTGACGAAACTTCTGTCATTAACATACAATAGTAAAGTTTCGACTATATTTTTTCATCTAGAGAGCATAAAAATGTATGAAAACTTTAATTTTTTAATTATTTTTACTTTAGATATTACAGATGGAAGTAATGAAAGTAAAATCAGAGAAAATGATAATGATGAAGCCGTTCGAGAACGTTTAAAATTGAAAAGAAAATTACAGAGAAATCGTACATCGTTTACTCAAGAACAAATTGATGCCTTAGAAAAAGGTTAATATTAAACAATTTTATATCGAATTAAATTATTTTTACAATATATTTTTCTTTTTTATAGAGTTTGAACGAACCCATTATCCAGACGTGTACGCTCGAGAAAAACTTGCACAAAAAATTAGTTTACCCGAAGCAAGAATACAGGTAAGCTTTCATTTTTTTTTTCTGCATTTGACTAATCACTTTTCGTGTGTTCTGATCTTCTACTATTTTATCAGTTAAACATTTTTGAAATATATTTCGTGGTTTAGGTTTGGTTTTCAAATCGTCGTGCAAAATGGCGAAGAGAAGATAAAGTACGTGGTCAGAGACGTCAAATGAATGAAGTAGGAAATTTACGTCCATCTGGTACTACACCACCACCATCTCTCTATCCGCCTACCTTTCCTCAAACAAATTTATCGGATACATACAGTAGCACATTTGCAACAAGTTTTGGAGCACCCATGACTGCTTCCGTTTGCAATTCATCAGGATATCCATTTTTTCAAGGTATGTGTCATTTATGCTTTAGGCTTATTAAATCTTGTATTATAAAATAAAAAATTAGTTATCACATTACGTGAAAAATAGTCTAACTAATAAGTGAGATAATTTTTGTTCAACAATTCATTCTAAAAACAATTGGAAAGAGAACACATCAACTATATGGAGACGAATTATATTAAAATTAATATTTTTTCTTCTCTATTCTAGGTGGTTCAGCACGAGGCTACGATGCTTTGAGTTTCAGTTCACCATATAATCGATCGTCATGCTATGGTCCCGGTCAATCAAACAATTCAGGTTAGTAATGTTTACTAAGTATTTTTTGAGACTAATTCTCATAGAAAAATATGGCCAATATTACCTTAACTGTTTAAAACATTCTTTCTATGAAAAGAGGACTTGAGAGAGATTATGGGATCGTTGATATGATAACTAATATCACAATATTTTTAGACTTGACGAAAATGCTTGGCAATCCAGTATACATGAATAATGGCAATCATAATGCTCATATGCCGTGGTATCCACCTATTTTGGCTTAAAAAAGGTACGTCAAAAAAACAAGAAGCAAGTTCGAGTATGTAAAACGAATATCATAATGATGCAAGTGTTCTACAGAAAAAACAACAATATAAATCCCCAAAGACAAGCTCATTGTCACATTCAAGATGTGTATAATGTTTTTATAATTACCGTATCTCTTTCCATCTATTCGAATTTTGATATATGTGTCTACGTCTCAACAACTTTGAAATAAGACGCTTCTGTCTATCTGTGTGTTTGAATAAATAAGAACGAACGAAAACTAAACTAAATGTATGTCCAGAGAGAGATATGAGAGGTGTAATTTGCGATCACAAACAACTGGTGTGAAAAATTGTCAACATTTTTATGATCATTTTTTTCTATTTTATATTATCGAAAACATAGATATAAGAGTAAAACAAAAATCACAATTTTATATATAATGGTCTGCTTCAATTCAATAAAAATAATCTGGAACTCAAAGGGCTATAATAATCAGTTTTTTCTTCGCTAAAACCAAAAAAAGAAGTCACCTGAATACGAAAAGACATACTATGCTGCCTTCATTTATATACATATTACATATTCTTTTCTATTAATGAATAACATATTCCCTATTTACCTTTACAAATGATTTGAAACTTATTGCTATTTCTTTTAGATTATTGGTATTCGTGAATAAATTTAAGTTTCATGACATCATGTTTTGATATTCATTATTCAAAGGACCTAGCAACAACATTAAACTCATTTTTTTCATTTTTGTTTTAATGTTGTGAAGCATTCCATTATGTTATGAGCTTAACTAATGGATTATTAAATTCAAGATTTTTTATTTAGAGTATATTTTTATTATATTGCGTTTTGCTGTGTTTCAAGTTCTTCTTTTTTCTGGTGTTTATTTTTTTGTTGTTAGATTCTATAACGAAAAAGTACCATCACAAGCGCTCATGTTCTTTTCATTCGTTCGACTATATTATTGTTGTTATAATAAATACAAATTCTTTCTTTTTACAAAAAAAAATAATTCTAACAAAAATTATCTAGCCAAGATAACTGTTGATAAAAATTCTATAAACAGTTAATCCATAGTAGATCTTAAAAACTTTTGATAGATATGTTTAAATTACTACCTCAGTATTGCTGAATTGTCGAATCTATCCAATAATAATTATATCCATCCTTGAATACAGAGACTGTACAAAATGACAAGTAGATAAACTAATAAAATCAGTACACAATATTATTTAATCATTACTCTACAAAATCATGTAAATCTCTTACTAATTATAACAATCAGATGAAAAACAATATTCTTACTTCGAACTATAAACAAATTCGGATTAACTCTCTCAAAATTAGTTTAGTACAAAATTTTTGAAATTTTGTTTTGAAATTCAAATGACAAGTTTTGGTGTTTCTTCACCCAGTTTTTTTGATACTGCCCACTATTCAAAATGATTGATGTATAACTCAGTTGGAGTTAGTTCTACAGAGCTATTTTATTTATTCAGAGTTTAAATTGAAAAAATAAAAGCAATTCAGTTTAATACATGTTGTGTATAATGTGGGTTTCTTCAAGCGTCAAAATAAACTAAAAGGCATGGTCATATGATTTCACGGAAAATGAGCACGTTTAAAAACGAACTGGAAAGTCTGTGAAGATTTTTTATTATTTCCAATCTATATGATTATATTTAAATTCCCTTTTGTTTAAGTATAAATAAAGAAGAAAATAAAGAATAAAGAATAGAAAAACTATTTTTATCATCGAACCACCACACAGAATATCCAGTGCACACGTGATTCTTTTTTTTGCTTTGCTGCTCTCAACAAATACTCAATATAGATAGAAAATCTTCGAGAATCATCTTATTTGACACGTGACTCATCGTGCTGCTGAAAATTTTATACCAATTTCCGTTATCGTCGACTATTGAAACACAGAGTATCGTAATAAATGTTATTAATGTGTGATCTATTACATGAAAAGTGTCCTAACTTGTGAACTTTTATGTTATGTACCGAGGAAACTGTTCACAACTCTTCTGCAGTTAACAAATTTAAAAGATGATCAATATAAAAAAGAATGGAAAATAAATTTTAAAACGATATCAATTTTTCTCGGCATCGATGATATCCAATGTTTTTTATATTCAAAAATTTTTATTAGTGAAAATTTTCTTTCAACAAGGGTTACCTGGACTGTCATATTGGGAAAGAACTGCAATGTTCAATTTATTATGAACTTCCAGATCATTTATGCTTTGAAAAAAACGCCAAAAAAAATCATTGAGAAAAAACGCGTCTGTTAAAAACTGTAAACGCATTTGAGACATGGGTTAACGTTACCATAAACTGCCAGTTTCAAAAACTTCAAGTAACGATTAAAAAAGGATCGTTCACTGGAGTAACGAATGGAGTCCATTTGGTATACCGTAAACGGTCCGTTAATAGTCCTCGTTTTTAGGCCGTTTTGTTGATTCATCTCTTTTATTTTTCTATCACTAGTAGTAGAATATAGAACACTAATTTTCTTTGAATAACTTCGATTTTTTTTCCTTATTCCTATATACAAGTCGACGAAACTTCATTAGAGGAAATGGTCTTTACTGGACTTGGGACTAAAGTACCTTGGCCTTAGGATTAGGCGCTAGAAATGGTGCCAAAGACCAAAACACTAAAATAATTAAAAATATGACAAAAATACTATTTTTGAGAAAAGAAATCAAAACTAAAACTTTTTATGAATTGGCGCTCAGCTGAACGGCGTAAAAAAGGTTTTGTAAAAATATGATAACAGGACGCTAACTAAGCCCTGCAGGTTAAACCTAATCTAAATAGGTTAGGTTGAATTTAGGTTACGGTTTCTATAGGCTAGGTTAGGCTTAAGTTATGAAATTTTTTATAGGTTAGGTTGTAGATTAAGCCATCAGTAACCTATTTTTAACCTAAAGGAAAAAAAACGATTTTGAACGACCACATTAAAACAGCCAATATCTTGAGTAATAAAGCGTAGTCCGAATGGAATTTTATCGATTGAGGACGAAGTTCAAAGTGTACTTCTCCCGTTAAACCGAACTATTTTTAAACTGAAAAATAGCACAATCAAAAAAGGAAGTATAGAGAAAAAACTTCCGTTTGCTAAAAGTAGATGCCAAATATATAACAATAACAGAACCTTCGTAGCATTGAGAGCCTAAAGTGGAATTCTGGTCTACTCTTAAGAGGATCTCCCTATTCAGAAAGCTATTTTTCAAAGATTGCATTAAAGAATAAATGACTCAACCAGGGGCGGATCCAAGATTCTACCGACGGGGTGGCGATTTCTAAACGATGTCGTCCGAGGTAGTATGAATATTTTTTCTAAGAAAATCTGGTAGTGTAGTCGCATTAGAATTCCATTTGCGAGGGGGCGGCGGTCGCCGGACCGCCGTGGTACTAGATCCGCCACTGGACTCAACCGATTCATTTCTATATTCATGTAAAATATGATTTATTTTGTCTTACCTTTCAGACGATGTTTAAATAAAAAACAACAACGATATGGAACAAAGCTGAAGTTTAGGCTTCTGAAACCAGGTTTTGGGAAAAAATTGCAAGAGGTTGTATTAAACTTTTAAAACAAATGAAAATTCTGTGGTATTTTTGCTGGAAAAATACTTTTTCTAAATGTGCTTGGACAAAGGCAAAAACCTGTTTTTCTAATAGCCCACGTCGAGTACATGCGAAATATACGTCATCCACGTCATGCAATCCCGTGGACTGGTGCAGCACGTACTCAAACTGTGAAAAACGAACAAAATCGCCTTTAAAAGTTTTTTCATCAATGATTAGATGGTTTTTAATCTCAATAAGGATCACTTCATCGAATACAGCTTGAAAAGATCCGTCGAATGCGCATGTTGTTGCCCTGTGTTGATATGATTTTATGGAGGAAATATGATTTACAAAAACGTCCTACTTTTCAGAAAAATGATTTTTTTAAAAACTCCCCTGAGAACGTGCTTAGCATTTTGGAACTCTCTGCCCGTTAGGAAGTTTGCACCACTGCACATATAGATTCTAATCTGACGGTACCAGCTCATGAAAATGTTTCCCTAAATAATGATAAAAATGCCCAGAAAAGATCTGTTCTGCTGGGAAATCGGATCTCCACTGGTCTAGAAGGTTACATTGTCGTAGCTCAAATGTTTTAAATGTGATATTCGCCACCAGGAGCTCGAATTGTACCAGTCCTATTACTTTCGAAATGTTGGGATAAAGTCGATGTAAACGTGGTACGTTTTCGAAAGAACAATCCTCGTACATGAACATGCGAATCGTGTTTAAATAAAAAATGATCCGATTTAGTTATATGAGTTTTCATTCAAACGAAGGTCAATATGAGGTTTCATTAAAAGTTCTTCTATTAAGTGCCAGTATCAATGTGACTTACGTTGACAGTGGCGCTTAATGAAACAACTTTTAACAAAGCTTTACCTTGAGCTTATTAGACTGCTCATTATTACAATCTTGCAAATGATTTATTCTTGCCTTTGGATGTAAAAAATGCGAGTATTCAAAAGTTCATGTGTAACATAATAATTAGTATTTCAGTTGTTGACACATTTATAATAATATAAGATGTATGTAAAGAACTGTGTGAGAGAGGCACACGTATCTCTTTTCATTGACTTTACTCTCGCAAACCCAATTGCAAAAAAGGAAAGAATGATGACTAAGAAAAACGTGTCGCTTCGCAAAACGAACAAACTTTAAACTGCAGAAATGAATCTGAGGAAAGATGATTCAATAGTAGGTGGCAAACAATCAGTTGAGCTAAGATTGCAACAGATAGTTTGTCGTTATAAAAGTAGAACTGTGTTCGTTATCTCTCCACAATATTGAAATATTTATTTTTCCTAAAAAGAATATTTAAAATGACTTCTGTTAATCTTTTAATTGCAGTTCTGTTTCTTTTCTCTGAACTGACTTTCGGACATGAAACGCCGTCGTCTTCATCACTAGTACAAGAGGAAACTGGTAGGTTCTATTCTTTCTGCATTAGTGTTTTATATTTGTCTGTTTGGACTACTCTTCTTGGTGGGAAATCGATATCGATGTTTATCTGCGAGTTGTGTTTTCTGTCTTCTGTTTTAGACAATGGCAGCGAAATTCATGAATTATTTGTGGCTACCGATGAATGGCAACCTGTCAAACCAGGTAAGCTACAGAACCTCCTTCTTTATCTATTCATCTATGCTTCGAATTTTATTTTAGGTCAACAAATTCCTTCGGGTTTACATGTGCGTCTAGATCTACAAACCGGCTCAAGAGAAGCAAAACTGTTAGAACGTGATGATAATAAAGCACAACAAAGATCCAATAGTCTTGTAGAAGTTCAGTCAGGCAAGTTAATACCGTAGTTAATAATATCGCGCATCGTAATTCACATTTCACATATTAATTCAAATTATAGATACACAAAATGACCAAGATCAGAAAAAATTTAATCATAAAGAAATCCGTGAAGCACTCTCCGGTATCAATTTCACAAGCGATGATGTTGTAAAAGATGAAGTAAGTATTTCTTTTATTTTTGATCATACATTAATAAATTGAGAAAAAAATACGAGATTAATTTAAGAAACTTCAATATTTTTCTAGTCTTTTTAGTTAATTATTATAAATAATTGTTCTAAGTACTATCTATTTCTTTTAGAATCATGATGATATTATTCGAAAAAAATTTCGTCCGTATGAAGAATTGAAAAAAGATTTTGAAGAAATTAATATGCGTATTCAAACTGATCAAGAAATTTTAGCTGAACTAATTGAAAAATTGAAAAAGATGTCAAATGACAATGATGAAGAGAATGAACATAAAAAAACAATTTTAACAGATTTGGAATATTATTTACATCAATATGATAATGCTTTAACATTTTCTGATTTGGGCGGATTAACACTAGTACATAAGTTGTTTAATTCAACTAATTCAGACATTCGAGCTCTAACTTGTCTGGTGTTAGGTGCAGCATGGCAAGGGTATGTTACATATAAAACTATTTAATAAAAGAACTTTTTATATATTAATATTTCTTCATTTAGAAATCCTAAAGTACAAATTAAAGCTGTCGAACAAGGTTTTATCCAATCATTATTGCGTCTATTATCGATAGAACCAATTTTTACTGTTAAACTTCGTGTTATATATGCATTATCAACGTTACTCCGTCATTTTCCATATGCCCAAATTAAATTTGTTAAATTTGGTGGTATACAGTCTATTATCAATGTTGTTACTCAAGAAACTAATGATAGTAATAAATTAAGAATGAGAGCAATTTCATTAATGAATGATTTAATAACTGAAAAGGTAAGAGAATTTGTTAATAGGATTTTAGAACTAAATTTTCAATCATTTATTTCATTTATCTGTTTTAGGATTTGATATTGAGTGAAAAAAATGATTCTCAACAACGAGAAAAAGTTGACCAATATAATAAGTAATTATTTGTTTTAGTTGATACTAGATGTTTGTTTTATGTTTATGATTATCGTTTTAGAATAAAACTACGTGAACAGTTGATAGCTCGTGGATGGTGTAGTGTGATTGGTAATCATCTTAATTCAAATGAACATGATATTATTGAAAAAACTCTATTATCAATGAAAACATTAATTAGTTCATGTAGAAAAGATTTTAAATCACATTTGACACCATTGAACAAATTAATGATAAAATATACCGATCTACAGAGAGATGATATTGATACGGATGGCTATTTTACGAAAATTTTGGATTTACTTCAAACATTGACAGTTGATTTATATTCAGATGAATTATAATAAGAAACTAGATACAAAATTGTTTTGCTATTTCTTTTTTTTGTCAGATATATGCAACCCAGTTAGTAAACTAACATGATTTCTATTCTCAATATGTGTGTATTTTATTTTATTACTCAGATTCTGTTTTTATATTAAAGGCTACAAGAAAGAAGGACACAGTTTATATTCATTGATAGAGTAACGAGTAAGAGATTCTCGCCAAGTATTTTCATTTCTTTTGAACGTTCATACAGTGTGTAATTTATGTTCATTATGAGAGTGATTAAACATCCCTGTTGTAGATTATCACGATTATATTAATCGTAAGTAATACTGTTGGTGTGAACATCGTATATCTCTGGCCGTTCTTGTTGATTGTTTGTTGTTATTCTTTTTTTGTATGTAAGTTTAAGAAAACAATATAAATAAATGGGGAAAAAGTAGCGTTATAACCATCGTATTAAAAATAAGTAAAATACATTTTGTATCAAATTTCAAGTTATATTAAAACCTGTCAGTATTGCTTAGTAACTTGTGAATACTTCACAGCTATACTCATTTCATTTAAAAGAGACAACAAAGCATAGTTATTCTACATCATTATTATTAGAATATCGTGCTAAATCTGATATGAAATATATTTGTACTCGACTATAAGCCGATACTCTATTACTTAGACCACATGGTAAGTGATTTTGATATCGAAAAGTTTGGAAGATGTGAAAACACAGAAATTGATACTAACAATAGAACGGTTTTCAAGTATATAATCGTTATGTTATTTTAGTAATATTTGTCATATAAAAAATATATATGATGATAATTAGACTCTACTCCTACTAAATTTATCTATTATTTTCTTTTTTTATCGTTGTATTATCAGTTTCGTTTATATTGATATTCTTGTTTACGAGTAGAAATAACATCCTCTTCTTTATTTTTTTTCATTTTGGTGACTGTACATTAACCGTATGTCTCATTGTATATTAGAAACATCATAAATACAAATGCGTCTGAAAAATACACAAAATATTGTTGTCCTTCTTTATTTGTTAAAAGTGGAACTCAATTCAGGGCCAAAACTAGGCTTGGATTTTGTTTTTTTCCATATACATACATAGATATAGCCATTTTTCATGTAATAATACATTCTTTTCTTTAACAGAGAATAACTATTTTGTTTTCCTTTTAGTTAGGTTGCGTGTATATTGATAATTAGAATCATAGAAGCCAGAAAAGTCTTTCTTTTTGAGTATATGTAATCATCATATCGAGAATTTTCTTATTTCTCCAATTTCTAGTCGGAAATGCTCTTAAGCTATGTACAATGATCATAGCAGACTGGCTTTGTTGAAATATCTATATTCTTTTTTTGTACAATTTTGTGGAAAACGGAGAGACAAATTATACTATTTCTTCCTTATGTAGACGAACATTTATCTAACAGAAACAACAAGGTTTTTCCTCTTTATTCACTCTACAGTTGATAATAATAGTTCTCTTATGTGTGTTTGCAGAATGAATAAAAAAAAAATGTATTTACTATCCATATAGAGAAAAAAATAATATTTATAAGAAAAGACGGTATAGAACAATTCTTTCACTACTCTCATATTGCTGCTGTTTCAAGAGCCGACGTGGTGGTTATTTGCTTGTGTAAGAAGATCACCAACTTTAATTATAATTACAATAGTTTAATTTTCTAAATAATAAAAATGGCTGATGTAAGTAGAGAATTCTAATTTATTATCAGATATATATATATTACCTTTGCTATCACAGAAGTATTCATTTACTAAAAAACACTGGTATTATCTATGAAACCCAAAATTCTCGTTATATCACACAATTTTAGTAAAATTGTGTCAACAACAAAGCCCATGTACCGTGAGGTGCAAAAGAGTAGAAAAAAAAATGAAAGATAACACAATATGTCCTGAACTAGGTCTCTATTGAAACTCACTGGATGTATCCAAAAATAAATTTTCTAAATAGATGATATTTTATTATTAAGATTTTCTTTCTTGTATTACCATATATTTTAGAAGGACGACGTAAGTGAAATATTTATGTTGTGTAAAATATCGCTTGAAACTGCCCTTTATATTAGAGAAAATAATGCACAAACACGTTATTGTTGGAGTTGAATACTAGACAAGATATTTAAAATTTTATTATATGAACGGGAGTTTATAGAAAAAAAACAAAAACGTGTCCATGTTTTTTAACTCCAGCAATAACCGTCAAAAATACCGAATCACAGATCTTTACACACACCAGTTCGCTTTGAATAAGTATTTTAGAAATGTCTCGTTATGGAACGCATTATTTTCAACTTTTTCTTTATTATTTAATACCTGTCAACCTTCTTTTTCTTGAATATTCATCATATCTCTATTTATATGTTCATTCATTCAATTATTTTTTACCCCTTCTTTTCCATATTGAATATGAGTCAATTTATCGCTAAATTATAATATCTATTTGCTCTTCAAATAGACTTTAGCGCACGATTCCACAATGGCACATTGTAATCTTTTTTTTTTGTTTCTCGAAAGACAATGATCGAGATGTTATAAAAAAGTTTTAAACATTCGTTAAGCAATAGAAGTTGTCATAATGATATAAAAATAAAGTAGAAAAACTCTGGTAGTATTATTCAACAATATTATTGTTTTCATGTTTCAAACAACATAGTAATAATATATTTTTGTGACTATATATTTATAGAAAAAGAATAAAAAACGTGCTCAACGTGCAACAAGCAATGTATTTTCAATGTTTGATCAAAAACAAGTACAAGAATTCAAAGAAGTAAGTTTAATTAGTAGTTTGATACATAAAATTGAATCGTTTTTTTATGAATGTTTAAGGCGTTCAATTTAATGGATCAAGATCGAGATGGTACAGTTAGTATGGATGATCTCAAAGAGGTTTATGCATCATTAGGTAAGAATAAAAAAAAGTGTAAATATTGTAAAATAAATAATTTTTTCTATTTCAAAAATTTTTTTCCAGGTAAAGCACCAAAAGATGCTGAATTAAAAAGTATGCTAGAAGAAGCACAAGGCCCAGTTAACTTCACCATGTTATTAACATTATTTGGTGATCGTCTTAACGGTAAATCACATCTGAATATATTAGAAATTAGAAATAATCTTTTTTTTAAATTTTAGGTACCGATGAGGAGAATGTAATATTGAATGCATTCAAAAATTTTGATCAGGAAGACACTGGAAATATAAATCAAAAAGCGTAAGAATGTATATAATTTATTAAATTTTTGTTTAATATAAGATCTTTTACAATTCAATTGTCCTATATTGAACTTAATTTGAGGGAGTTAATAATTGGATGGGTAGAATAGACAAAAAAAATCTAACAGATGTAAAAGGAAGGTGAGCATTTCAGAATGTTTTCCTGTAGATAACACTAGTCTAGTTATTGGATATATCTTTTAAATCAATTTTATAACCTACATCTTCCACAAAAAAAAAAAAATAGTATTAGAAATATAGAACAGACATAACACATTTCATCTGCATGTATTGATCTTTTTTTTTAATGTTTATGTTGACTATTATTATTTTTATTGTATAATGATGACTGGTACATTGTGAATATTTTAAGGTTAAGAGAAATTTTGACAGCAGAAGGTCGTCCTGAAGATCGCTTAACCGATATGGAAGTAAGAATAGATGCAACAATATTTCTATTTGCAATAACAGTAATAAACATATATAATCATTTGCAAGCACAAGTCTTATTTTGTGAATTTTTTTCACAAAAAATGAAAAAAAACGATTGACTTATATAATTTTTGATAGTTTTAAACTGTATTGTCTATAATCAAACGGTTGTTTCGTCAAATATGATAGAGCTCGTTTTTTGAATTTGACAATTTAATTGATGTTTAGCATGATCGCATGTACCATTTGTTGTGATGCATAAAATAATCATGATTTTCATTGGATAATTTTATATTATGTTTTTCTTTTCAAAATTTTAGTTCAGTCAAATGCTTGATGGAGCACCAGTAGATCCAAAAGGTAATAATATTTAATTCTCTAAACATAAATTTTTTTTTCTATTAGTAAAATTGAATGTTTTTTTTCTTTGGGATTTTTTTTAGGCAATTTAGATTATGCAGTATTTACACGACAAATTAAACGTGGAAAAGAAGATGAATGAACAAATCTATCTATCTATATATTTATTATCTTCATACATTATATTGTCGAAGGGTCTATCAAATCTTTCCTCCTCAATCACCAAGTTTTATTTTGATGAACTATGTTTTATATCAATAATATCAGCACTACATTTTGATAGAAGATAACATTTTATTGTTGTGTAGTGTGTAATTTTGTCATTAAATAAAACAAATTGCCTTTTTCGTTCTTGTCTTTTGACCACGCTATTCTTTGCGGCGAATCGTTTTTCTTCATTTACCATATTTAAATATTATTAAGTCTTTTTGTATAAGAGTATCCTGGCGATATATTTCTCACATAATCAAGACAATTTTTAATTAATTATTTTTAAATAGGTAATCTGTCATTGATCACTATGGTACTTTTGTGCAGCAGATAATTCGATCTTGACCATGCCAAGAGAGATTTCTCAATTTTAGCAAAAAGAACTTTATTAATTCTAAAAATAGATAGTATTTATATGGACACGCAAAACAAAACAATGATTAAAACATACACAATCATCTTGTAGAAACTTTTTCGATAACTGGGTACCTAATCAGTCTAGGTGCTTAGTCGGTATGTTTACGAATATTAATACTCTAATGGGTACTTTGCAAAAGGCTTATTCAGTATTCAGACATGTTGAATCCAGTAAATTCAATAGGATAGTAAAAAGAAGTTGAATTATAGCTCAAAATATCAATAAGATTCGATAAAATTACCGTCTCCTTACTACATGTAATAAAAATACTATATTAAACTTAAATTGTTATCACTTAATTGAATAAAATCAAATAAAACAATGGTAATAGTTATCTATATTAGGGTAGATAATACAATTTTAATAACATAAAAACTTTTCAGTTCAGAGTTTCTTTAACTAGAGGCACGTGGGGCAATTAGAACGCGCTCAAAATGTTTTACAATATTTTTCTCGTAACTTTGAAAGCTTAGAAGTTTTCACAAAACTTCCAATGCAAAAGTTGTAGACGATGGTAGTAGACACCCAATAGTGCAAAAATCAATCGAAAATCTCACCAGCAAAAGGATTGGGAACAGTCTTACAGTGGGAGGATCCGAAACGTTCTTATTTCCCGCAAGTGGGAAATTAGAACGTTTGCTGTGTCTGTATGGTGTAAATGGAAAACATCTACCAAAACATACGAGATTCTTTCACAAACATATTTTGACTTTGGCAATCGTGCTTTCAGGTATATTGAAACACACGGTAGACATAAAATGTAGCAGACATTCAACTCTATCCATCTATGTAGATTAAAAGTCTAATGTACCATAAGATCTCAAAATGGTTTGTCCGCCACATATGAGATTCTAATTTCAAAAAAATGCGTTCCTGTGCGTTCCTATTTCCCACAAGTGGGAAATTAGAACGTTTGCTGTGTCTGTATGGGGTAAATGGAATGCATCTACCAAAAGTAATGGTCAAGACCGACGACCAAGAACGATCGCCTAGCTTTTGGTGAGGGATGAGAATTGCTGATACCATTAGAAGAAGGAAGATCAGTGAGGTCAAGAACCTCATTCTATAAATATTTTTTCGATGCCTGTCGTTATTCTTAATATGGTCATTAATACAATTTTGTATGATTTTTAATTTATAAACTATGGTAGCATACTTTGTGTTTCGAAGAAGAAACGTATTAAGAAGACTGTTCGTAATAGAAACAGTCACCGAAACGTTT